TCCATGCATTCAAGACAAAGTATATTCCCTGTCGTCCGATGAAGATGCATCGTAGAGTGGGATGGTGAAAGGGTGCATTGGGATGTTCGTAGTGACTGCGTGAGAGAAAATGATTTTTTTTTGTTCATATTGAATAGGATGTGAGTGAGTATTTTTGGGATAGCTTGCAATCGAGGAGATTTACGATGAGAGAAAGTGAGAGACAGGGCTAGAGATGGATGATAGGGTGGTGTGGTGTGTGATAGAACAGACTGTAAGAGTCCTGTAAGTGTGTGTGTGTGTGTCAAGATGTGTAAGTGACTTGAGCGGACTGAGTATCGAAGAGTGTATGTGAGTGGTATGACTGTGTGTTTAGTGCTCCTGATGATGATGATGATGATGATGAGTTGAATTTGAATGATTGGTTTGAATTGGTTTGATTGATAGTAGTCAAGTGAGTGCAACTGAGATAAGAGCCAAGAGGCTGTAGAAGGGTAGTGATGATGAGGATGATAGGATGGGGATTTTAGGGAGAGTGTGGGTTGTGGATTGTGGATTAGTGAGTGGATAGTGGGATACTAACCTTGAGTTCTTTGAGCTTCATGCATTCCTCCCAGCCTCCATCGAATGTTTTCTTCATCTTCTTGACTGCCACCAGTTGTTTTCCCTTGTACTCTGGTCGTGAGCTTGGTCCGGGTGGTTGGGTGCCTGGGGGTAGGGTGAGAGGGGAGTGCCAATCGGCCAGCCAGACCGTGCCGAATGAGCCATCGCCGACTTCCTTGAGGATCGTGTAGTCTCGGGTGCCGACATCCGGGAGAGGGTTGTGGGAGGATGAGGATGCGGATGAGGAGAGTGAGAGGGTGGTGACTGGGACTGATGATCGGTTGGACATGAGTGAGTGAGTGAGGACTGGCGATGAGGAGGAGGAGGAGGAGGAGGAGTGGGAGGATGGGCGGGGGTGGGTTGGGTTTCAACTTGATCAAAAGTTTTGGCTGGTTGGAAAAAAAAAAAAAAAAAAAAAAAAAAAAAAAAACACCCAGAGCAAGAGCAAGAAGAGAGTGGGGCAAACCCACGGGGGGTCAGCTCAGCTACACTTCAACTTCTCCCCGGCCGGGACTACCAGAGCTAACAAATTTCCGAGTGCTCACGATCACAAACACACAACCATAATCCTGTGATCAGACAACCCAAGAAGCGCTCCATCCAAAAAAAAAAAAAAAATAGCATTCCACTTTGTACATGAACCTCTGCTTGGAGGATAGGAAGTTTGTCAAACTTGCACTAGTAGGGAACCGCATGTTTGATCGGCTCCTCATCATGTCCTCCGACCGCCCCGTATCTCAAGATTCCGACAAACATAGATTGCAGCAAATATGTATCATGATAGGATAGATGTATTTACATAACTAGACGTCTTGACAGCTTTTAGTAAGGGGTGAAAGTGTTTGATCTTTATTCTTTGTACCCCATGCCATCCTCAACAAGTTGTATGTTTGGTATGTCACACTTGACTATGTATGTACCTGCATCCTAAAAAAGAACCAACTAATACTTAAAAACAAGCCCTGTCTTTGGCCATCAAACATTCTTTATTCGAACTCATTCTGTTTTTATTGTATATGGGTCCTTATGGATCCCCCGAAGAATTTGGATTCGACAATAAGAAGCTATCTAGTATTGGCAATGGTATTGCATCCTGATGGTCCGTTATAGGCTTGAATTTTAAGTCGGCAGCCTGTTTTTTTTATCTAGACGTATCCTCAACAAGTTCGGTCTTGACAAGACCATCAGGGAAAATTCAATAGATCCCATATGTTGAGCGGATAAAGGATAGGAATCTGAACCCAACTCACTCGCATAATCATTAGGTAGATTCATGAGTAAGTAAGAGAAACAGCTACCGAGACCCCTCTGGAAGATTCTCAGCTGGCATAGTCCTTTCTGATTAAGCCCTTAAAGCTGCTTCCACCTATTTCTCCCCAACTCAGCCTTGCCTTGAACAAAGCTTACATATTGTATATGACTATATTTGAAACCAACCTCACTTTCCATAACCTCATAAATAAAAGAGCCATAAATAGCATATTTAGTTGAACTAGACCCAAATCAACTCATTATTGAATAAGAAAGCCTCCTTATCTTTGTTCTTTTTCTGGTGTTATCTTGCTCTGGCCACTTTTTTTTGTAGTAGCAGCTTAAGCTCTTGCTAGATCATAAGAGAAATAAATGAGTATCTGTTTTTGGTACCATTTCCCTGAGACAGCTCATACAGTCTCTTGTAGTGACAGTGGACGACTTCCTGTTGGCATTTACAACCCTCACAGAATTGGATTTACACCATGAAGGTCTTAATTTTTGGCAAAAAAAAACTTTCTTCAGAAGCCTTGTAGTGAAGGCCCCCATGTCAGCTAGTTGTGCTTGTGATTAGAGTGTTAATTTAGAACTGAGAGAGGTCTAAAAAACTTTCTAAATCACAACGGGAAGTCCTCCAGTCTCACAAGCTAGCAGCATGGAGCCCTCAAAGAGGGCTTCTCAAACCTTTCTCTTTTTTTTTTCTCTCTTGACAGGTTTTCTTTCCAGTTGCCTCTCCTCCCTTCTCTTTGTTGATTGTGAAAAATTCATCAAGGTTGATAGAACAGATGTATATATGATTAAAATTGAAGAATTAAGACCATCCATGCACTACTAATTCCAAAATCAGTAACCAATCCTTGTTGAACCTGCTCCCCCTGATCTGCCAGGAAAGTTATGAAACTTACAGGTGAGAGCTCCCATCCAGAAGCAGGATTACATGGATCAATTTTATGCTAGAAACTCTGCATAAATCAAACAACCTTCTTAGAAAGTAAAAACTGCTTGGCTCAAACATGAACAGGCCCCAGGGTAGTTCACATACTTGAGGAGTTCACATTGGTTTTACAGGATTTGTAAATCCAGAATGACAGGCTGTGGAGCTTGGTTTTTGTCAGGAAAACAGATGTACAGCCTGTAACAAAAGTTTTACAGGGGGCTGTAAAATCAAACAGAAGTCCTCCACTGCTGAGGGTCAGTAAGCCTTGTTAAAAACAAGCTCTGCTGAGATCTCAGGAAAGTCTGGAATTTTGTACAGCTTCCCCCCCTTCCCTCCTTAGAATGAAGTTTCCACAATCAAAACTTACTGAATATTCATGCATAAGAAAAAAAAAACCCCTTTCAAAATTGGAGATGTTTTTGAGCCATTTTCAAGTGCCCTAATAGGTGCCTGACCTTCAAACCCTTTTGATCACAAACAATGATGAGTTTGGTGACAAGTATGGTGTTACAAGCTCATCTGAGCACACAGTAGAGATGGTCATTTTGCATCCGGATATCCGCGCAGATCCGGATATCCGCTCATAATTTCAGTGGAATTAGGCAATTCTGCTGAAATTAAGAGCGGATATCCGGATCTGCGCAGATATCCGGATGCAAAACGACCATCTCTAGCACACAGAATAAACCCTGGTCGCTAGCTCGGTAGATCAAAAAGGTGGCAGGGGGACGGAATTAAAAAGCACCACTGGGCTAATGCTAGCCATCAAAAATGGATCCCCTCTTTCTGATGGTTGGTTTACCTCTCTCCTTGATGACTACTCATGGATCATTAAAGGACTCAGAGACTCCTCCAATGATCAGTACTTGTATAAAGCATTGGAGGGAGGCAATTATCAATAAGGGAATCCTCTCTCTTCAATCGCTGGCTTTTTTACAAAGAATCAAGCCAGAAATCTCAAATCCTGAAAGACTTCTTGGAATTGATAGGGGTTTTTGCATTTATCCTTCTTTGGGGTGGATAAACAAGTCACTCATCAAGTAGGGATTTTGGTGAATAATCTGTACACCAGAGCTTGAAATGAGCCCACCAACACCTGAATATATGATCTATCCCAAGTTCTGCTCCCTGCCTATTCTGACTCACTAAGCCCTTTACGTTTCAGCACATTCCAAACGCCCAAGTGCAATGCCATATGGATTATGCACAGTCTCCTCCCAGATGTTTATAGCCATCTGTTTTGAGCCACACACTGGGACCCCAAGAACTACAAGTCACAAGAGTTTGTGGAATTGTGGAAAATGGGTCTCAAAGAATGAATATGAAAAAATAATTATAAAAAAACAAGATTATAAAATTTGTAAAAAGCAAAAATGAGAAAATCACAAAACCTGACAGCTCCAATATTTATTTCAGGAAAAGATGAAATATCAGAAGTGATATTATGAGATATGAAATGAATAATAAGAAGTGAAAATTTGGAAAAAAAATGACTACTTGGTGGTTTAAAAAGGGTTCCTAGGGGGTCATTCATCAAGAAATGTAGCATTCTGGTACTGCAATCTACTGATTTTGACTGCAGGGTGTCCACCCACCATGCTCAAACTTTTTTTGGATCAATATTTTTTCATTTATAATCATTCTTTTCATGTTCCAAACTTGCACTCTGTGTTTTCAATTTTCACTCAAACAAAAAATTAAAGTTTTCAAAAAACCTTGATTTTCTTTTATCTTTTTCACAAATTTTGAAATCTTGATTTTTATTTTTATTTTTTTTCATATTAATTCTTTGAAACCCATTTTCCACCATTCCAAAAACTTTTGTGACTCAAATATTTTGGGTTCCCGCTGTGGAGCTCAAAACAGATGGCTATAAACATCTGGGAGGAGACTGTACAGTGGGTGGACCGTTATTTTTGGCTGCTGCTTGTTTTGGATTCCAGAGGTTCAAAGCACAAACTTGAAGTCGCAAGGATTGTTAATGTGGTGCAGAATAGGTCCCAAAGAATGAATATGAAAAAATAAAAACAAAAAACAAAGTTTCAAAATCTGTGAAAAATAAACAATAAAAATATTTTTTTCCAAAAGGTTTAATATTCATTTTGAGGGAGTGTGAGTGCTGGAAGAAAGAAAGAATTTCCAATGGGAAGAATTATTATAAATGAAAATTATAAAAAAATGGTTACCAGTTGGTTTTAAACAGCTGTTGAGTAGGGCATTCACCAGCTCACATTGTAGTAAAGCACTAGAATTTACTGTTTTGGATCCAATCTGGACAGCCAACCTGGCTCACCCTTTTTTGGTTCCAATTTTTTTTCATTTATAATCATTCTTTCCATGTTCCACTCTTTCTTTCTCTCAGCACTTCCACTCCCCCAAAATCAATAACAAAGCTTTTGGGAAAAAAACATTTTTATTTTTCACAAATTTTGAAACTTTGTTTTCTGTTTTTATTGTTTCACTAGGGAACATGCGGCTCCGCCGCGTCCTGATGACTGAACTGGCAATTACCATACCCAAGCCTGCATTCTCCTCAGCTGCTCTAAACAGCGCACCGGTTTCATCAACCACAAGCTATCAGCTTGTCCATTGTATTACTTACCCCGATCCACTTATTCTGTGAAGCTCAAAGCCCTACCAGGCTTAGACCCAAAGTTCTGCGACTCCGGATTCACACCTATCCATAACACCAGAATCTTGAGTCTGTATATGTCATAGTCCCTTTTTAAATATGATTGTTTGCTTCTTGATTGGGGAGGTATTTGAGCTGCAAAATGGAAGGAGGAAGAGAAAAAGCATCTCGCGAAATCGAATAGACTTGTCCTTGGATCCCTTTTGCGTGTATTAAGGTTTGATTTGACTGCAGAGCGGGAGATGTGCCAAGTGAACCAAGAGCTCTAAACGACCTGAGATCTTCTGCCCCTTATACAGCCCTGGACAAGACAAACGGAAAGTAGAAAAGAATAAGTTAGTTGATGATAAAAGAATTTGTATATTGAGGAAATCGAGAATGAGAAGGACTGACACCTAGATAACCAAAGGAGGCAAAGAGCAAGAGACCATCGATTTCACACAACAGCCAGATTGCATTGCCATAAGAGGCGCTCATGCCAATAGTGTTGCGGCTGAGTTGGTGCTTGAGGATATCGGCAATAGCGGTCCAGATGACGGTGCCGATAGTGTTACTGATGAAGGCAAGGAGGCTGATGACGGAGAGATTGAGCGAGCCTAGTCTGCCGGGACCGCGGGCCTGGATGAGCGAGAAGAGTAGGATGAGCGCCACGAGACAGGCGGCGATGAACAGGAAGTAGAAGCCAATGCGAACTCTTCTCAATTTCCTCATTCCGGAACACGCAAAATTCTTTAGTTCACGCACGAGACACTCCAATCCAGCAAAACTATGGCATTTGCCTTATCTAATTCCAGTCCCGACTCCTTACCCGGCGCTTACAGCCCTGATATAGCTTTTCCTTTACCAGACCCCACCACCGATCTCTAGGCAATAGCAATTCTCGGTTGAAGCGGTGCAACCAAAGCCAGACAGCGCGTGATTTGGAAGACAAAAGACTGATATAATTGTGGATGTGGCGAGGCATTGGATGTACAAACCGGAAAGGGAAGAAGAGTATGTGAAGATGTACAACGGGGTGGTGGAGGTGACGCGGAAAAGTAACTGTTGAGGATGAGATTGTGGGGTGTGTATGAATAAAGAGGGTGCGGACAGGACATAGATGACCTGGTTCGGGTATGGAAGAGAAGTGCTGGGAAGGAGTTTTGACCAGTTTCGGGTTGTGGAGTGAAGTTAGATGAGAAGTTGTTGGCGGCAAGAGGCGATGGAGTACAATTGGAAGGGTGAACTGCTTAAACCGGCATCAGGTACGAAGTCCAGGTGAGACACAGGGTAGTCGGACAGGATATAAAAGGAGGGGTTGAGGAAGGGGAGGTGAACGAGTGAATGATGTCCTCAGAAGACGCTATGTGTGGGGTATTGAACAACTACCTTTCGTCCCTACACATGCCGTGATGCTGAGGATTTCGTATATTCAGGGGGATGAATCGGTAACAGGGACAGAAGTAGAAATAGGGCAGAAATGCTGCTCGCAAAACCAGAGGGTTGACGAATTTATCTAACAGGGACAGAAGTAGAAATAGGGCAGAAATGCTGCTCGCAAAACCAGAGGGTTGACGAATTTATCTGTGTTTAATATTCATTCTTTGGGACCTACTCTGCACCAATTCACCAATTCTTGTGACTTGAATTTTGTGCTTTGAAGCTGTAGAACCCAAAACAAGCAGCCAAAAATAACAGTCCACCCACTGTACATTGGTTAGATAGAAGTTTTTGACTACAGTGTCTTGGACTCCAGAAGCTGAACCCACCAACTTCAAATGGTCAAATTTCCTCCATTTGACAAGCTATAAGAGTGGGTTTATTGAAAACAGTTTTAATGGAGTGCACAATTGTTAGAACTTCTCTCTCACAGTAATTCTCTATTATTTTGAGTCACTTTTTTTACACTACATTGAATTGAGTTTTTTCTCCCCTTCTTTACATGCTCCTTTTTCAACCGTTGCCATGTCCCCCAAAAAATTTGTCTTTCAAGGAGACACATCCTGGGAGCCGAGATTTGCTTGATGCTTAAAAATCTTTAGTATCCGAACCCTGAACTTGGCACATTGCGGTTGGGCGCTGGAAGTCCAGAAGAGTGCGCGATGCGGATGCTCCAAAACGCAACACTGCGCAGTCGATCGCCTGGCACCGGCCCAGCGGGTGAAACCAGCCACCGACGGTCAACAAGAACACTTCTCATCGGCGCATTCGGTCTTTCCCCAAGCTTCACAATGACCTCGTTCTCTACCCGATCCGGATCATCCCAACCATCTCCCACACTTTACATTCAGAACTTGGACGATAAGGTTAAAAAATCGGGTAAGTCGATTCCCTCAAAACAAAAGAGAAAGGTGCTGTTTCATGTTGCTTCCAAAATTCGGCAATAGATCTCAAACGATTACTGTACCAGTTATTCTTGATCCATGGAAAAGTGCTTGATGTTGTCGTGAAAAAGGGGAAAATGCGCGGACAAGCGTTTGTAGTATTCAGGTGATTAAATCAATCTTCTGTTGAATTCGTTTTCTTGATTTTGACATGAGTAATTTTCCAAACCAGGGATTTCCAAGGCGCTACGCAAGCGATGCGTCAACTAGATGGCACCGGTTTCTTGGACCGAGAACTTGTCAGTTAATGTCTTAAAGAAATCCTCGTAATTTGTTCCAAGGATAATGACAGCTGTTCTTCCCAGAAAATCACTTACGCTAAAACTCAATCACATGCTACTATTCGTCAAAACGCCGGCGATGAGGTACTGTATCATGTCAAGCTGGGGCTAAAAGATCCAAATACCCTGCAAGATAAGAATTCCAAGTTGACTGGGAAAATGACCGTTAGTGGGGCTCAAGCCGCCAACGTGAGTTAGATTCCGCCTCGCCAAGTCGTTCAACTAGACCTTTCGGATGAAAAATGACGGCTTGACTCCTTTTGGTCACTGAAGATGGAGAAAAAGAAGGCAGAAGAGATTGCGACGAAGAAGCGATTGCAAGGTTCAACTTCCGATAGCGAACACGATGATGACGAACAAGACGATTCTGCGATGGCTGATGGGACAAATAACCAAGCCTCAAAAAGATCCAAGACAACCCACGCGACGGCCGACGATGACGATGGTAAGCAAACACTTTTGACTGAAGTAGAAAACTGGCACTGAAAGGAACTCAAAAAACTGCTTATCAACTTTTGTAGAGGAAGCAATGGAGGAAGATTCTGATTCAGAGCAGCCTGTTGATTCAGCCGCTGCTGCTGCTGTCAAAGCGGCAGGCTCAGCGCCCATCTTATCCGGGGAGGATCCCAACCCCGTTTTGTTCTTGGAGGGCCTCCCAGCAGAAGTAACGGACGATATGATGGCTGTCCTATTCCAACAGTTGCGTTATCTTTCTTCCGAATACATCTGCCATTTCGTTTTCTTCATATTCAGGATGAGCCAACTGAATCCATTCACGACTTGCCCTTCTATTTTTTCTGCTCACTGCATGACTGATTTTATCTCTCAAAAAACAGGTATCCAGGCTTCCAAAGTGTCAGGTTGGTTCCAGGAAGAACAGGGATCGCGTTTGTGCAATACGATACGGCTGCTCAAAGTGACATGGCCAAGGCTGCTCTTGATGGCTTCAAGCTTGCACCCGGTGTGGTGATGAAAGTCTCGTTTGCACGACGCGGTTAAAGTCAGAAAATCGATCTCTCTTGATAATAAGAACTTCGAATTTTCTTTCTTTTCGTTTCCCTGGATTCAGGTGGATTCCTCCCAACGTTTTGTATGAATAAAAAAAAATCAAAGCCCCCTTTTTTAATGTTTGATCGTCTCGCTCACCAGGACGAAGATTCCTGTGAACATAACTCGAGGGAAGAAAGCAAATTTGAGCACTCTTGTATCTCCACAATCGCCCCCAATACCGCGTCTAATAGTCAGATTCACTTGCTTTAAGCCGTCCGATCGCCCAACAACTGAACACGATGATCCTAGCCTTGGGGACGTGTGATCCCCTCCTTGAACAATATCTTTTGTTCCGAGACTTAGATCAATAATAGCCAGCGCTTAACGTTCGAGAAATCAGTGTCTATTATTGTAGCACACGGCACAGACATAGACAAAACAACTGTATAAAAAACCGTTCGACGACTGCTCATAGAATCAATTACATATACCAGTGTCAGCTGCTCAACTCGAATTGGATTCCTTTCAGATGAAGACGCATAGCTTCCCAGTCTTGTGACGACTCAAGGTTCCAGGCCTCATAGGTGCGTTTCCAGATTTTCTGCGAAGAATTGTTACATTCATTAGCACTACATGTCTCCATCGTGTTCTAAAACCTTGCCTTGGGGTTCTGACCCGGTGCTCTAATTATCAACCGCTGGGACTCGCTGAAGTCACTCAAAAGCCCCCAAGAACAGACCTATGAGCTGATGGGTGGCTAGTGAATCATCCACTCATTTTGCACACTGCCGGTTGGACTTCGGTTCTTGAGGAGACTATGTATCTAGTGTACTTCGATAGCTAACTTAACACCAGTCCCTGGGAGTGAAGCACTCCCTCCGAGAGCGCTCCGCGCGGGGTCCCCCGACCCTCCGTTGGATTTGTTAAGCTATCTTCGATAGACAAGGAAAGATAATTTAGCTACCGAGGTACATTAAGCTGGTCGCGGAGTAAGTTACGTCTAAAAAATCACACAAACAGTAAGAAAGCGAAGCATGTTAACCATGAGTGAATAAGTCCCGCTTTTTATCTTGTCATCCCTACTTCGCACTCATGGTTGCGAGGCTTGACTTGGGCAGAATGAAAGACATTGGATCAAATGAGCATTGGTTTCATCCGCGGCCGGCCAGAAGGTTAGCGGTCACAGTAACCGAGCAATGGCTCCGCCCCCGTTTCTCAATGGTTGCAAGAGCAACTAAACACCTGAACCGAACGCCGGAGCCCGAGTAAAAAACCTGTCACTTTGGTAAACCGCCTCGCATAAATGAAAGAAAGCACCTGACGACCAACTTAATAAACCATCTGCCCGGGTGCACCAATTTCGCGAAATCGAAATTCCCTCATCCTCACTACATCACTACTATATAACTGCCGTGTCGGCAGCCACATTTGTGTTTTGGCATTCCAACCCTTCACTCAACTTAAGTTGGTGGAAGTTGAACTTCTCAATACCCGTATTAAAGTTTCAAGTGTAGTTAACAAACTTAACCTTTGCAATTTCTATCTGGATCGGATTTGTAATCCTTCCATACTCAAATCCAAACAGTAGCTGCACAACTGGCTAGTTCTTTTTTTTGTTTCCACTTGCTCAAACTTTATTGTGATGCCAGATGCGAAAGGCTGACTCTATCATGTTTGCCTCGAATCTTTTTTCCCTTTGTGTTATTTGTCGTTGAGCAGGTGTGTGTGGTTAAATTATTCGTCCTTTTTAACGAGCAACTTGACCAGACTTGACCTCCGACCCAGTTCAACATAAACTGATTTTAGGTGAGAGTTTTCTTCCATACGATTTTCTGCTTTATTGCTTCCATTTCCCAACCACTTCTTCCTCCCTCTTTCCCCATGATGCATGCGCTCACTTATTGTGATAAAGAGGAATAATAATTGTCTTGTACCCTCGTTCCACTGAATCACAATTTTGCGCTCATTGCATTTATGCTCCAACTCATTTGAACTTAAACCCTCTGATGATTTCGAGTCAATCCGCAAATCCACTTAACCCCCAATCGAACCAACGCAATTGATAGCTAACTATTGCACAACTTTCTAGACCTTCGGAGCCGGAATGAAACTTCATATCTTGAGTCCAGGCGATGCTCTGGTTGTATTGTTTCTAGTATTCGTCTGCGTTCCGGCTGTTGTTACACAAGGCACCAAGACACAGCCCGCTCCCAAAACCCCGAAGAGGACTGGTCAGGGCAACGCCAACAGCGCCTGCACGGAGGGTGTAGCTAACCTTGTTGGACCCACTGTCTCCGGGACGATACGGTTCCTGAAGCAAGGGGCGAGTGATACTAAAGTTCAGATTGAAGTGAAAGGCTTGAAACGTGGAGAAAGTAGCAATTTTCATAGTCAGTACTACAATACATTTTAATCTTGTTGTCAAAAAATACTCAACGATGTTTTCTTTTCTGAAATCAAGTCCACGAAAAGCCAGCCGGTTCTGATGGTAGAGATTGCAAAGCAGCTCTGGATCATTTTGGAGTAAACGGTAAAAAAATATGTAAAGGTAGAGTCCGAGATCAAAGCACATGTCAAATTGGTGTAAGTCAAATTCACCAAGATATGATTTTGAGATTCTGTTCAATTGCTAAGTTGGCAATCCAATTCAAACATCAGGACTTGTCAGGTAAATCTGAACCTCTAAGCGTTAGAGGTAATGGTCAAGCTACAGTCAGTTATGTCGACCATGTCATAGATATCTCCAAAATTATTGGACTAGGTGTTGTTGTTCATGAGGGAAACACTAAAAATACAATTGCCTGTGGTGAGAAGTTGCTCAGTAATCTTTCTAATATTTTCATTATCTGACAATGAATGTTCTCTTAATTCCAGGTAACATTTTTTGCAAGAAAAAATAATTGATGCATTTTGCACTATCCTTGCAATGTTATTGGCTTTTCCATGGAAGACTGTTTTGTGATTGGCCTGATTACAATTGTATCATTTCTCAAAACTTTCATTCCCAAATTCATATTTATAATTTTCACCTTAATTGTACTTTATCAAAATTGGAACTCTCCATTGTATTAGTTTAGGGGTCATCAAAGTTGATGCATGCATGCATAAATATTAAAACCAAACTCATAAGCAACCGTTGGCTGGGGCTGCCTACATAATACAAGCCAAAATAATTTATTTATGCATTTATGTATGTAGTCAACTTTGAACATCACTTGGACCATATTGATTTCACAACTTGCCAGCTGTGGCACAGTTATGGCAACATGGTGAAATTATATTTTCCACCACAGGTTTCCAAAAGTAGATTTAGCTGTATATGAAGGTGACATCAGGGGGATTTTACAAAAATTTCCCTGTGAAACCAATGGCTTGGGGAGGTATATGGGTTGCTACAGAAATTGCACATCTGGCAATGCCACACTACCCAGGAGGGGGAAAACTACTTTGAACTCCTGTTTGGCACCCCCATTGAAAGCTGTATTTGGTGTTTGGTTAGGTAAATTTATTTTACTCCTACAACAGATCCCCCCCATGAACAGGTGGAGCTAGCTTAACACAAGCACATCAATTATTTTGGCCTAGTATTGCCTGGCTGTTGAAAAGCAAACCTCCAAATTAGGGTATTGTTGGTCTGACTCTGAATACCAGAGGCCATTTTGTGGGGTGTCTGTGCCATCCCATTTTAATCATCTTCACCTAGAGAAAAACCAATGCTCTTTGGACTGTGAGACTTTTTAAATCTTTGCATTTTTTTAGGTGTAATTCCCATTGTCTAACTCCCAACCATTATTATTGTAAAACTCTTCAAACATCTGTGATTTCAGGCTACACTACCTGACTTCCTGTATTGTAGTTCATATTACCACTTCTGGTATTGCACAAAGTAAACAGTGCCAAAGAGACAAGCTCTTTTTAAAGTCTATTGGTTTGTCATGCTTATGAGCTCAATGCAGACACATTGATTACACCATTTTGAGGATTATTGGCTACTTACTGCTGGGGCTCCTGCTCCAGATCACCATTTTAAGACTGAAAAAGTGATTGTGAGATCATTTTTTCTGAATGGAGGAAGGGATGAATGAGCTTCAAACTCTGCTTTTCTATATTATAAGAAATCAAGACCACCATGGTAAGCTTGACTATTTAGTTATGTAATGATAAAGGATTATCTTCAAAGATGAATGTATAATTTTTGAGGATTTGTATTGTTGTCCAAAGAATTGATTGAGGTTTTGATATTGTTTCCCATTTTGATGTCTTGATAATCTTCTTGTTCCTTGATACTGTTTGTGAGTAATGTAATAGAGGTGGTTCTTGAACCCAAAGGGTCTGAGAGCACTATGCTTCAGCCAGGAATGGAACAAAGGACTGACTTTTCTGTGTAATGTTTGTGAAACTGAACTCACACTGGGCTGCTACGCTACACTACGCCATGCTTTTTGCCCAAAAAGCGTTAGCGTAGAGGTTTTTGTGCGCACCAAGATTGTGTGGGGTTAAAAAAACGTTAGCGGCTTTTTGCTACTGCCAGCTCCCGTCTCTTGTGTGACTAGGAGTTGATGAAGGGTTAGGCTCACACTATTGTTGTTTACACAACGTAGTGGAAAGAGGTCGCACTCTTGTTGATTAATCAACGTAGTGGAATTAGCCTCTTCAATATACTAGAGTGTTTGAAGGGCTGCTCCTTATTGTTATAAGGGACGACAGCGGAACAACTTTGCTGCGCCAGGCTTATGAGAAGAGAAAAACAGTTACTATTCTAGTTACAAAGGTTAACCGTAACAGACTAGTACTAAATAGAGGGAATAGAGTGTTATGTAATGTTAGGTATACTAGATTATAAAACCCCACTCACTTATTATACTGGTTGTAAATAGGTAAGGATAGCGGGTTTGTATTGGTAATCTCTGGGGGAAGGAATCCTAGAGGGATAGCCTTCCTCCTTAAGTATTACAGAGCAGAGGTCAGTCTGCTTGTAGGACCGGTACAGTCCCCATAAGGTTATGTTATTTCTTTGGGGAGAAATGTCAAGAAGATTAAAGTACATGTGAGTAAAATCTCTCTTATTTCAGAAGATACACCTAAGAGAGATAAACTGGACTATAAGTATTTTCAACAGAGGTACACAGGATAAATCTCTTTGATAATCATAAGAGATAATTATCCTTTTCAATCTGAGTATAATTTTCAGGAAAAGGGTAAATTAATAAAGAGGTAAATATTTATTCATTTACTAAACATTTATTAACATAACTAATACATATAAAAGAGAATAACATCAGTGTATACTTATTAACTTAAAAATTACATATAATAATATGTTTATTATGTAACCCAAGGGGGTTACCTTTTATTGTAGACACCTGGGCTAGTGTCTCAGTGTCTGACAGCTACACTACGCTGCACTACGGGCTGCTAACAGCCGCTAAAGGGCCAAAATACTGCTAACCAGATCAGCGTTAGCGTCGCTTAGCGGGCACTTTCTAAGGGCCTGCACGTGCAGTGTTAGCGTGGAAGTGGCAGAATTCTGCTACACTACGCTACGCCAAAGTTAAGCAGAATTCCGCTATGTTACGCTGTGCTAACCGCTATGGTTAGCGTAGCTGGCCTAGCATTGCTGAACTGTGTGTATATTGCAACTGTGAACTGTGCTATGTGTGAAACCACTCATGTAATAAATATGTGTAATATGTGACAGGTATTCCCCCCAAAACTTGTACTGAGTGGAATGAGGAGGGAAAAACTGGCAGGCAGAGGCCTCCTTATATACTTTTAGCGGCAAAAGCAGCCCAAAAACCGCTAAAACGCACTGTAGGGCAGCATAGTGGGCCATTTTTGTGGCCCAAACAAGCGCATTCATGGCAGAATTCTGCTGCACTACACTAAAATTTTGCAGAATTCTTCTATTTTACACTGCACTAACACTATCATTAGCTTAGTGAACCCATTTTTGCCAAATCAACCTCCACTACAAAGAGTCCCTTTGGGATGTGGGGTTAGTTAACCTAGCAGGTGGAGATGGTCCTGGGGCCTGTTCTGTGGGATTCAATTTTCAAGTTGGCTATTTTCTTGTTCTCCTAAACAAAAATAATTTTTCACTTTTGAGACAAAGGCTGGCTTTTGCTGATGGTCACATTTGATGATATGGAAAGTTGGAGCAAAATGAATTTTGAAAAAACTGGATTTACATGCCATAAAGTACACTTCAAACCAAAACTCAGGACCAAATTTGCATTATTTCATATATTTATCAAGTTGAAGATACATTAAGCTCCAGGCTTAAATAAGCCTCTCGATTGGATGGTCCCAAAGGGACGCTCTCCAAAGGACTTACATGGAAAATTGGACTTGCGGCCTGAGGTCATAAGGTTTAGAGATTGTTCGTTCGTACTCGGGTACCTGTTGAATTTTTTCAGAAAATAGGTACCAAGTACCGCACCAGGCACCTCCCGGCGGGTTTTGGCAGGTACCGCAGGTACCTCCCCTCTCTTCCTCACTTAGTTTGACTGCAAGGTTCATTACAATCCTTTTGCATCTTGTTTGAGCTTTTTTTGGGGGGATTCTTTGTGACTATCATTTTATTTTAAAAACATAAAAAATATAAAGTCAAAAACAATTGAAAAGAATTTAAAAAAAAACTGTTTGTAATTGCTGAAAAAAAAAGAAACAAAAAAGAAAAGAAAAGAGAAAAGAGAAAAAAAAGGAAAAAGAAAAGATAAAAAAAATAAAAAGAAAAAAAAGTAAGAAAAAAAAAAAGATAAAAAAGATAGAAAATGGCCTTGAGGCTGGGGGGAACCCCAGCGTCCCGGCCAGGTTGACCGGAAGGGTTTCCTTCCGGTCGATCAGGTAGATGTATCTCATCAATCGGAAGGGTTTCCTTCCAGTTGATGAGGTACATGTACCTTGTTGACCGGAAGGGTTTCCTTCCGGTCAACGAGGATGTACCTTGTTGACCGGAAGGGTTTCCTTCCGGTCAACGAGGATGTACCTTGTTGATCGGAAGGAAACCCTTCCGATCAGGGAGGTACATTGACCTCTTGACCGGAAGGGTTTCCTTCCGGTCAACGAGGATGTACCTCGGGAATTCGGGCATCGGCGGACGCCGGGGATCACGGCCGACTGCGGAACGGGGGTTCAGTGTATACTGCGGAGAGGCTACAAAGAGCGGGGAGCACCGAGGGGCAGAAGCGGGGTTCGGAGCGGACCAGAGGCAGAAGCGGCGGTGGGAGACCTGCTTAGGAGCGGCCGGAGGAGTACTTGGACCGACAGGCGTCGGAGGGGTGACATGCGGAGTCCGAGGGGGTGACAGCGGATGACATCGCGGGAAGTAGGAAGGGACTGGAGTGTGGGATACCTAGGAGGAGAGGAGTTCGAGGCAGAAGAGGAGAGAGAGGGGGGGGAAGGGGGACTCAGAGAGATATCAGAAAAACAGAGTGACTTAGGAGTGAATCGTGTATTAGCCTAAAGAATTGTTAGAGATAGAGTAGAGTTAGTGTATTACCTACAAAAGATCAATAAAAGAGAACTAGTTTACCTACCTACAAGACCATACAAGCAAGTTACCCCGGACAACAAAACCGGAGTAGGACGCGTGGCGGAGCGGAGAAGTGCAGGAAACTCCTAGGCGCGCCGTGCTTTCCACAAATTGGGGTCTGGCCGGGAAACAACATCCTTGGTCAAACGGTACGAAGAATAGTGGATGAGCTTTCCGGGACAGTTTTTCACACCGGCGTACCACAACATCGAAAACGAGCGAGCGTGGAACGATTCTTCTGATCCTTCTGATAGCGACGGAAGCGGGAGTACGGTTCGGGAAAATCAACCGAGTGCGGAGGATAAGGGGAAACAACGGGCCGAGACATTGGACGACCTGCGTGCCGAGGGACGTAATTTGGTCGAGCAAGTCCAGAAGAACGGGGTCATTGGATCAGAAGTGGCGGAAAAGGTTAAGCTTTTCGAAGGACAGGCTTCGGGATCGAGCAAGAAGGTCGGAACTTACGGAGTACCGAGCGAAGGTTCCGAGGAAAGGATGAACGTGGATGACCCAGCGCCGCCGCGGTCCTTGGGTCCGCTGAAGGCGAAGGTACGTCCGAAGGACTATCCAAACATTCGGTTCAGTACTACCGAAGTGTCGAGGTTTCTGGAGCGTTTCGAGGCTGCGGCGGATGGGGAGGGAGCGGAGGACTCGGATAAGGTTCGACAGGTGGTCAACTTTATCCAGGATGAAGAGGCGTTGCGGGATGTGGAGGATATGGATGGGTACGAGAGGAAGGATTGGGCGGAGTTGAAGAAGGAGATGCTGGAGAAGTGGGGCCAAAGCGAGCAAAGGTATCGGGAGGCGGATCTGGATAGGCTCGCGGCGGAGGTGGCGGAGGAAGGTGGCGTTCAGACGAGGGAGCAGTACGGGAAGTACGTCTCTTCGTTCGATCGGATTCTGAAGTATCTGAATCGGAACGGGATCGTCACCGGTACTCCGGGAGCGGTGAAGCGGACCTTCATCAAGGCTTTTCCGAAGGAGATGCGGGAGCGGGCGCTCCGACAGCTTTACGATCGGAACTTGGTGAATAGGTCTAAGGATGGGGGTGTGATCGTTTTGCCCGACATGAAGGAGATCCGTAAGGCACTTCAGGGCGAGATGGACATGCAGGAGTTGGTGGAGGATGGGATAGAAGCAAGGGGCTCGGGATCGGCTAAGAGAAAGGAGCCGGTGACTGCGAAGGAGGTCGGTGAACTGGCGGAT